GAAAAAAAGGATTAAATACATTTTACCACCCCTCAAAACACCCCTTTTTAATAAAGAAAATTGAAATAAACAATCCCAAATAATATCATTCCACTATAAACAGTCCCACCTATTATTTATCCATGGTTGGTCAAACTTTGAGATGTGTTTGATTATATTGGGCCTGGTAACATGTTTAGCATCTATGGCAGGTAAAAATATGCCCATGTCCTAGCACATGACATGAAAGTCATTTTCTTTTTTTTTTTTTTTTTTTAACTTTATCCATTGCTTTTTTCGTTCTTTTTTGTTCGTTCGTTCTTCTTCCCTTTCCTCTTCCTATTTCCCCATCCATTAACTTCTCACCCAACAGCAATCAGCATTTATAAATTATCTATTATTCTATCAATAACATCAAAATTTAGAAAAAAAAAAAAAAAAAAAAAAAAAAAAAAAAAAAAAAAAAAAAGAGAGAGGAAAAAAAAGAAGGGATAATTGTATGTTGTCGCGCCGATTTTATTTCGAGTTTAATGGTAGAATCTAACTTCTAATGTCATGGTCACTGAAAATCAAAGTCATGTTTACCAAATTTCTTCAAAGAAAATCGAAGGAAAAACTATAAATTTCCATGCTTTAAATTTTTGGAAATTCGAATAATATGAACCAAAATCTCATACGAGTATTTAAATTTCACCATAACCAAAATTTTCGATTAAAGTCACTTTTCTTTTAGTTTTTGGGTCAAATTGGGGTTGAGTACTACGGAGTACTTTGAGATTAAGTTATTTTCACCATTAATGGTTGGGGTTGAGTACTTGGGTTTGATACTCAAAGTTGGTTTCCATGGTTTTGTGAAAAGTGTGGATTTAGAGAGAGGAGAGAGACTATAAGGGACATGAGTTGCATAAATGGGAAAAGAATTTTCTTTTCTTTTTTTTTTTTTTAAATAGAAAAGATGGAGATGAAGCTAAAGTATGGCTACTAACAGGGAAGTGAATGAAGGTTAAAGGTAATTTTGGTAAGGGTAATAAATAAGAAAAAAAAAATACATTAAAAGACTCCACGTGATTATTATTACTTATTGTAGCATGTAAATAAGTTAATGGGCCCAATATTATCAAATGAATATCTGGCCAACCTCAGATAACCATAAGGTGGGACTGTTTGTAGCGGAACGACATTAGTTAGGACTATTTATTTCAATCTTTCCTTTTGATATATTTACCCTTTTAAAGCTCTATAATACCACCCCATGAATGACATAAAATTGGATTTCACCACCTCTTACCTTGATACCAGGCAGTTTTCAGCTGCGAGCCCTATGTAACGCCTATTTTGACCATTTTAAAACCTTGTCTCCTCGATTTGTTTCCTATATAATTAATTCCCTTGGTTTATATACTCATTTACTTAGAAAGACTTATTCCCTTGGTTTATATACTAATTTGGAGATTTTGGAAGTAAAATTAGTATACTATTAACCAAAGGGATTAGTTTTAAGAGAAACAAAACAAGGAGAGAAGACTATAAAATAGTCAAACTAACCGTTATACGTACAATTTTATGTCTCTTATGGGGTGGTATTTTAAAATTAAGTTTTCACGGGGTGGACAAATCAAAAAGTGGTGTTTTTAAGGGTTGATGAAATGCAATTTATCCAAAATAAGAAAATAACATAATACCCAAATAAATATTTAAAAAATTATTAGTAAAGTAACATAATTTAAGAGACTAACCTACACAAATTATTGATAGAGGATCGAATCAGAGAAACAGCATGAGCACATACACAAATTAAGTTTTTTTTTTTCTATTACTAATCAAACATCTCTAATTTAATGAGCATAGCTACATGTTTTTTATGATGTACCTCCTCCTTTTTTTGGATGGAACACTTTCATTTTCATGTTTGCCAATAAAGTAACATAGTTTAAGAGGTGGTAAAATGCAATTTATCAAAATAAAAAAAAAAAAATAAAAAAAAAAAAAAAAAAAACATTATATCGAAATTAATATTTGAAAAATTATTAATAAAGTAACATAATTTAAGAGAAAACCTACAGAATGTTAATTACTAATAAACTCCAATAACGCAGGCTTCTAATTATTGACAGAGGATCAAATCAGAAAAACAGCATGTGCACATACACAAATTAAGTTTTTTTTTTTTCTATTACTAATTAAACATCTCTAATTTAATGAGCATAGCTACATGTTTTTTATGATGTACTTCCTCCTTTTTTTTAGATGGAACTTTTTCATTTTCATGTTTTCCAATACATAACTTCAACTATTAAACCTACGACTATCTCCAATTGAACAAGTAAAAATCATAATTTAAGATGAATCTAACAAGATTCGAAATTACTACGTTTTTCCTTAATTATATATAAATCATAGAAAAAGAAACTTGGTGAGTGCATAACATTTATTTCAATGTGTTCCATCTTAAAAGAATTTATAAAATGTTTATTTAAACATTTCAAATTAACAAGGCAGAAAAAGTGCAGCATGCTTTAAACTCATAACCACACAACTGAGATATTTACTGGTCAGTTTCACCACCCTCACCAGTCAAGGCAACTTTGATTCAACGTAAAAAACTTATCGTTTAAGTTATACATTCTCTATTCCAAAATTAAGATAAAGATTAAAAATAAACAAAATAAAAAAAATAATAAAAAAAAAGCAAGCTTTGCTAGGGGCTTGATCCTACACCAGCAATGCACTAAAGCAAGGCCTTGCATTAATATTGCTAAAAATTGTTTACTTTAGTTTTTGTTCTTTTATTTCCCCATACTTACAGGTTTTATTAAGGTTTTGCCTTCTTGGTAATGGTGTATGTGCTTCTCTTGATGCAATTGACCTGGTTGTCTTTGTCCTACTTTGAGTAGAATCTGTTTTTACAGTTGGCTTACATGTTACTACCATCCTATGTGGATAAGTTTTTTCATCTTTTAGACATATTAGTTTTACTTTTTTAAAACAAGTTTATTTAAGTAGCTAGAGTCCTAGTATAATTAGACTTCTACCTAGAATTGATTATAATTTCTAGATTTATTTTGGGCATGAATTTTATTCTTTTTTCTGGTCTGTTATGCTTTCCTAGGTTTATTTAAACTATTATAGTCGTGATTTGTAATATCTATAAAAGGCTATTTCTTCGTTTTTGTGTGTGCTTATTTTGGCTATAGGAGCTTTAAAATCTAGAATATATTATTCAAGATTTAATTATTCTTGCTTTTATAGAATAAAAGTAGACTAAAATCCTTAGTTTAGGTGCGAGTTAAACCTAATTTAGAGAGTAATATTGAAGTTAATTTGTAAATACCCAAAGCCCTTCCTAAATCGCGAGTAAAGATGAGTAAAGCCCAAAATCAGATTTAAAACCCTCAGTTTTCTTTTGTGCGAGTGAACCTTGAACAGTCCCTATGTGTTGTAATCAGTGCTCGATCATCATCACCGCCAAACAGTCAACCACCTTAGCACTTTATATCCTTCGATCCCCTCCACATCCCCCCCATCCTCCCTCTTCCCCCAAAACCCCAAAAGAAATATATAAAAGATAAAAAAATAAAAAGCTTTTTTTCTTACTCTCCATATGGCCATAGAGCAGAGTTGTACGGTGAATGGTCTTTGCTGTTAGTATTCCACATGATGCACTATCATGTGAAATTGCTTTGATATAGGTCTTGATAGTCCAGAACTTCGGTAATAAACATCCAATTAAAAGTCACAGAAGAATTTGCAAGATAATCTCCCAATTCCCCTTTCTAGTTCTAATCCTGTATGTCTAAAAGGTGACAGATTTTGTTTTCTAAAGTATGACACTCACACTAACTGAAGTCAAAAGCCTCATACTAAAGGATGGGAGACAAAAGTGAAAGAAAAGGAATCTGCCTGGAGCAAATTTCTTAGGATGACTATTGAACTCCCTATATTCAAATTTCATAGTGTACAGAATGCAAGAGATTCTGCTAACTGAACTGCACACCTTTGATCATTCCACCCAAGGATACACCTCAAATCAGTAATCACATGGAACCAAGAAGAATTAGTCACAGACACTTTCCCATTCGATTTTTTTTTTTTTTTTTTTTTTGGTGGGCACCATAAACTAATATGCAATTATTTCCCTAATCCAAAGAAATGTCCTTGCTCCAATAGAATATATTTCCTTGGAGCCACCCAAGGAAATCCATTAAGTGAAGATATTCCTGTCCACCTACAGAAGAGAGATCCTCCTTAAAGCTCCCAACCACCTTAGACCTCCTTCATGTCAACTGTCGCGTTACCACAACAATTGTACTACAAGCCCAATGAATCTTTTCATATTTAGTTCCATAGAATAATGGTACAAGAAGAAATGAGGTCACATGTTGAGACCTTCAACAACATCAAATTGTTTCCTATTTCACTTTTCAAGAGCAGTACGCTAATCATGTCTAGTTGGCTTCAATAATCAGCCGTAAGGTAACTTCCCCAAACATTATAAAATGGTGAATTAGAAGAAACCCTAACTTCTGCGGAACTACAATTCAAACATTTGTATGGATTTTTCTAAGATTTCCGATTACATTAAACAAAGCAACAAATATAAGCAAGTGCATCATTACAGTCACCAAACAGATTGTGAGTCACAGAAAGGCCATTCAAAAATTAGCTACACATCAAATTAGGTCATAATTCATAAGTGGAAACACGCTCAACATGGTAGGCTTACTATATGTAAGGAGGACAAATTCTGCCAAAAAATAATTTAGTGGGGTGGGGGAAGGAATGATGGTTTCACAAATGCACAAATTGAAGCTAAATCAGATACCTATCTTTATAAAATAAAAATAAATAAAAGAAATATAAAAAATAAAAAATAAAAAATAAAAAAAAAAAAAGAAGTGTAAATAAATTAATGCATGGTCAATCTCATCATTATAAGATAGGAAGAAGACATTTGGCTATAGCAAACAAGAAACCGACATAGACTGACGTGGAAAAGAAGAATTAGATCACAGCACACATACCTATCCAAATCAGGACCCTCGCTTGGTGAAGATGCAACTGGGGCAGAACCATTTTGATGACTGAACAGTCCAGCATTTAGGTCCAATGGCATCGAGTTATTAGGACCTACATAGTTTGAATTTGTATCCAAGGAAAGCAAGTTTGATTCTGGTGTTTTAAAGGTTGCGACCGCAGTGTCTTTACCAACTTGTGTACTGGGGGAGCTAACTATAACATTCCATGTATCAAATGGATCCCCATGCTCAACAGCTTCCTTGTCATCAGGTGCATTAGCTGAGCTAGGAAGATTTCCTTGCAAATTACTTAAGCTTGTAAAATCAGTCCATGCACCAAATGAATCTTCATCTTCACAAATGGATTCACCATCATGTATTGTAAATTTATCACAATGATGTCGATTGTCAGGTTGAATAGTGTACTGTTTACCACTGTCACTAAATCTAGAAAACAAATCACCATCTTCACTGCTCAATTTATTTCCAGATGACCCTGCTCCAGCAACTTGTAGCTGCTGCTCTAAAACAGATGTTGCGCCCCCAAAATCACCCCATGAACTTAATGTGCTATTGTCATCAACCATTTTTAGACTGTTAGAAGCTTTCTGGAAATCAGTCTGATCTGAACTGCTCTTGGTATCAATTGGTCCCAAAGAACTATTTCCAGTTGGAATTCCCGAGCTTCGGAAATCACTCCATGAACCAAATAGATTATCATCCGTGAAAACTGCTTGATTTTCTGTAGTTCTTGTATTGCTACTTTGAGGCTGATTTGCATGACTAGATATCATACCAGAAAAGTCATTCCATACCCCAGATGAAATATTATCATTAGTAGCTGGCTTACTGTCAGGAAAACCACCAGATCCTGCTAAATAACCCCATGCATCAAGCGATTTATCATTCAACAAGGTCAATGAATCATTTTGATGACCGTTTCCCTTCGCATCTACCACTTTGAAACTGACAGCTTGCTCCTCTTTGTTCTCAACACCAAGTCCAGCAAAATCACTCCACGAGTCAAATGAATTACCAACTTCACTAGCAGTCCCACTTGTAGGTAACTTGCTTTCTCCGCCTTGCAACTGACCAAGTTCATTATTTATACCCAAGTGTATATCATTACTCCATAAACCAGTTGAATGACCTTGATCAGATATCTTATTCTGGTTCCTGTCTACATTGACACCTTGATATTCTGAGTGGGTACCATCCAAAAGAGCAAGATCACCTGTACCAACATACTGCTTTGTTTTATTATTATTGATCTGAAGATGAGTCTGTCCTCCAGTACTTGGTGTTGCTTTATCAGGCTCTGTAAGAGAATTATTAGGATGTTTGATGTCTTTAAAAATAGTGAAATCAGTAAAATCATTAAATGGATCAAATGTAACCATTCCACCACTACTACCAATACCAGGCACAGTTGTACTAACATTATCACTCGTAGACATCCTAAAATCCCCCCAGTCATCAAAAGATTCATCACCATCTCCCTCGTCAATATTAGGAGAATCGTTTTTGACATTAGGTCGTTGATCTGCTGGCAACCAATCGAAAGAAGCATCGACTGACTCAATGGCCTTTCCACCACCTTCAACCAAGAAATTTCCTTCGGATACATTAGGGTTGAAAGGGGGCCCAGACTCAGAATTACTCCAAAGATTTTTGCCAGAAGTAGTCAAATTACTTCCTGAAAAAGCATCAGCAATTGAGCTACTAGCTGATTTCTCATGTCCAGATTCTGGGAAGGCAGATTGAAACTCAGCCCCCCAATCAGAAAAGGACTCACCGTTCTCACCCTCATCGGACCTTGAAACAGCCTCAGTAGACTGCGTGTTTTCAAACAAACTAAGACTCCTATCTCCTGAAATTCCACAATTTTCATTTCCTATTTTTTGACTCGTTACCATTTGTTCACTTCCAACACTAAATCCATGATCAATACAATCTTGAGCTAAAATTTGTTCAATATCTACACCAACCAAGCTCAAAAATCTTTTCCCAGGAAGCCGCTCTTCATTACGCACACCTAATTCCCTCGAATCATCCAGCCCCTTTAGCTGGAGATCAAGATAATCCGATAACCAGATTTCCTCCTCTTTGAAAGAACTCCGACCTCTATTACCAGATTCATGATCACCAAGTAGTACCCCTACTTTTTCCTGCAACCCCATTTTTCAGTCATATAACTACATATTCACAATGCAATTTCCACACAATAAAATTCCAATTAACATCATACAAAAAAAAAAACAAAATAACATTAAGAAAAACACAACCATAAAATCTAGAAAAATATAGTTTACTTACAAATCCATCCAAATCAAGCGACTTCAGAAACCACTGAAATGCGACAGTATTATTGAAACAAATTGGGTGACGAAGAATATCTTGCAATTGGGTATTGCCACAATAAATGCAAATGATTGATTCAGAACCTCGCAGTAGCTCACCGCTGCAATTCTTACATCGCAAAGCATCAACAGAGGGATTCGATCCCACAATAGCTTCTTCGAGAATCGAAGATGGTTGCGGAGATTCAATTGAATGATCGTTGAAATCGAAAGACTCAAAACCAGCTTCTTTCTTCAGCAAGATCTGAACTTGTTCAATTAGATTGGGGGATACAAAATAGTTGTTCTCCATTAGAGAGTTGAATTGAGAAGGATTGATAGTAATTCAAGGTTTATACACAGATGTTAGGGCTTGAATTTCTTCGAATTGATTGAATTTTGTTGTGAGATTTACTCTAGGTTTGAAATTTGGGAATATACTTGCCACTCATAGGTGTGAGAAAAGCGGTTGATCACTTAATCAGACAGGTAAAGATGACAAATTTATATGGGGGATACTAAGGGTAACATAGTCTTTTCCAGTTGGTTTAAATGGGTATGATTGTAATATCGTGGATACATGGTAGCGTGGACGGTTTATTGGACGGTGACGACGTTAACCCCTTTACTTGATGACGTTAATCCCTTTACTTGACGACATTGGCCATTAGCAATTGGACGGACGTTACTCAAATTATGTCCCTAAGTAATTGTCATTCGCATCAGCTCCAATTTATTATCAAAATATCAGCGCTTTTGTTGAAGTTGTTGCGTCATTTCTGAATTCAAATCGTGTTGTATTCTACTCATCTGCCCCTATTTTGATACGGTTAAAGTAAGGTAAATGATTTGTCCATTGACTATACTGTTTATTCAAGATTTCTGTAATCCATTTGCATTAAATTTTAACATAGTACTTGTCCCAGGACAGCTGATGAGCGGAAGAATGTGTTTGGATTAAAGGAAATAGGGGAAGGAAAATGGAGGGAGGGAGTATCTTTCATTTGGATACCAAATTAGGGATTAAGAGAATTGGAGGGGAGAGAAATGGAGGGATTAAATCCTAAGAAAATGATCTCTCCAATAATTGAGAGATTTGGGAGGAAAACTCTCCATTCTTCCTTCCCCTTCCTTTCCCTTCCCTCCCCTTCACCTCCTTGCCCTTCTTTTCCTTCCATTAACATTACCCAAACACACTGTAAGAGAATGAGTGAGATCCTATATGCTTCTTTAACCATCATGTATGTTATGATTTGTACTAGACCTAATGTGTCGCATGCGTGATGCGTTGAGCGTAATGAGTAGATACCAGTCGAACCAAGGTGAGGCGCATTAGACTCCGGGCAAGAACATCTTTAAGTACTTGAAAAGGAACAAGGATAAATTCCTAGTCTATAGTGGAAGTGATGATTTGGTTATTACATGCTACACTGATGCAAGGATCGAGATCGAGAAAGACGATTATAGATAGCAGTTTAGTTTCATATTTTGTCTGAATGGAGGAGTAATGAGTTGAAAAATGCAAAATAAAGCATGATTGCAGATTCTATAACTAAAGCCGAGTACTTGGCTAGTTGGCTGCTTTGGAAGTAACTAAGGAGGCTGTTTGGATTTGGAAGTTCGTTGAGGAATTTGGCGTAGTCCCTTCCATAAAAAGACCAATAGACCTATATTGTGATAATAATGGTGCTATTGCTCAGGCTAAAGAGCCAAAGAGCCACCAGAATGTCAAACACATTATGCGGCGATTCCACCTATTAAAAGAGTGGGTTGATAGAAGAGTAGTCGAGATTTGCAAAGTTGGAGCACATGAGAACGTAGCTGATCTATTAACTAAACCTTTGCCACAAGTGAAACACAAGAGTCACGTTAAGGCAATGGGAATCAAACATATTGGAGAATGCTTTTGATTTCCCTATATATATGTATGTTTTAAATAAGTATATGATACGTTATTGTACAACATTTAAGTTAACCATTTATGTGCATGGAATAATTTTGTTTTTCAAATTATCATTTCATATTTATTTGATTGTGGTTTAGAATTAAATAATGAGTTCATTCTATTGACGATATGCAAAATAGGTTATCAAGACAATGTCTTGGATAAAGAAAAACCTATTAAATGAATGTTGAATAGTAAATAAAAAAAATATCCCTAATCCAAGTTATTCTAAAGGATGGATGATTAGTGAACAAAGAAAATTAGTGTGTAGAATGATTTACAGCGCTGCTTCTAAGGCTAGAAGGACATAAATGTCGTAAAATACTTGCACATGTATATGTTTATAATTATAATTGATTGATCTTTAAGAGAGGGACATATATGTTTATAATTATAAATGTCGTAAGTATTTATCTCTGTAAACATATTGTGTAATATTCTGGAAATTTCCTTCCTTTAAAATACTCCTTCTACTCTAAATAAAACCCTTTTTAGGAAATAACCAAAATATTACCGCCACCATGATAACGGCTAAGGCTAGTTTTCAAAGTCTCACAGCGGAAGTCTAAAACAAAAACCAACTTTTAAAAAAAATAAAACTTGAGTTTACAATCTCAAAACAAAAGTAGAATTAAACATTCACAAGTTGGAACCAATTCATGGCCCTTCTGAAAACCAATTAAAAACAAACATAATATTGTTAGTCCATAAACAATAACCAATAATTCAAATGTATTAAAACTAAGAAACATAACAAGTAACTCTCTACTCTCTATCCCATCATGTTCTTCATGCTTCAAGTACCTGTTACTTCCTCTTTATTTCAACTCTCTACTCACCATATAAATGGGTCATAGTAGGGCCAACCCAAAGGAAAGCCAAACACAAACAATCAGCAAAGCTGAGTACATATGCACCACACTAACATGAATGTCCTAGCATCAAAATAAAAATAATAATTAACACATGCTCGCCACACAATCACAAATCAACTTACCTTTGACTCACAACTATCAATGTTGATTATTAATAATAATTTTGGATTACACATCGAATGGGTTTCCTTCCTTGAAAATAGCCCATTTAAATATCGAGCTTCCAATCAGGGAGCTACCCCAATTGGCACCTACTATGTCACCCTTGGTGACGGAATTCCAGCGCATAATAATAAAAGAAAGTACAGCGTCTTGTACCCCTGTAGAAGCTATGGTTAAATATAAAACCCCATAACTCCCCCCATATGTTCATACTCAAGGTATATACGTTCCAAGAGTTTTGGTGTGTATCCTCTTACACTTTACGTGATTTACCAATTTAACTTGTGATGACTCAAACCAATCAATCAAGAACAAACGTAACAACATTCAACACAAATTTCCAATTCATTCTTGAATTAATTAGTGAGCACATACTATTTATTTAAATTATGGTTCCTTGCCTAGTTTTGTGCACAAAATTGCACGATTACTACCTTGGTTCATAAAATGCACTACTTGTAGGGTTTCGTAAAAACCCACTCTACGCGGAAGGAAACCCACCAAGACCCACCCCGATAACTAAAGCAATTAAAGCATGCAAAACTTAATTAATACATAATTAAGAGAAAAGGGAGAAAGAATTATACCCTAGACGCGTGCTTCGCTCATCAAAAGAGCTCTTACTTGAACCCCGCAATCGCAAGGTCTCCGACGGCTCGTACCCACGAACCCCGACCCGAGCGATCCAAGTCCCGAAGGTTAGTCGGGACCCGATCAAATAAAAAGGGAGTTTTACGAATTTAAGGCTTTCTCGACTATTGGAGATACCTTTTGAGTTCTACTCAAGTTGTGTATTCTCAAAATCCCAACCAAGGGGTATTTATAGAGAATGGGGACTTGAATCCCATTTCATGATCAATGTGGGATCATGTGCAATTGCACTAATTTATTTAATTCCAAAATAAATTATAAAGCAAATGCAATCACAAAGCAACAAATGTCAATAGGAGAGAATGGGTTAGGTGAGGACCATATCCCATGGGGGGACCATTGCCTTGCTCCTCAAGGGAAGCCTTGAGGCTTTGGTCCCCACCTCTCCTAAACCGCCACTCACAAGGACTGCTGGGCTGGCAGCCAGCTAGCATGCCAGCACACGCCAGCCAGCACAACTAGCATGCACTGCACGCACCAGCCAGCACAGCCAGCACATGCGTGCTGCTAGCAAGCCACGCATGCTGCTGGGTGCTGGGCTATGCCTCGCAAGCTGCTGGCCCTGGCACTCGCATATGCGCACAACACATATACTTGATGGCTGGTGTGTGGCGATAAGCATAGGCATACACACACGCACACACGCCAGCGCCTGGCAATGCGATGGTGCTGTGCTGTGCTGTGCGAAGGCACACACGTACGCACACACGCTAGTTGGTAGGCGTGTCGCGAACCTAACAAAAATAACCTAACTAACCACTACTATGTAGACAGGCAAGTAAGGGTCGAATCCCAAGAGACTATGGTTCACCATAACTATTTAGACTCAAGTAATTACTAAGCAGAATTCAACAATGATCGATTAACTAAAGAACTAATGTATGGAAAATTCGAAAATAAACTAAAGAATATGAAGAAATCAAATACTTAAAACATCCAAGATCAAGTATCACCACAATTACGAATGATGCAATTATATTTCTACCCCTAACATACAATTCCAATTGAATGGGGAAAAGTAAACCCTAATCAATACCAAGGACCTCTCTCGAGTACCAATGGCTTCTCTGACATAGAATCAAGCCTATTCTCATGGTATCATGCATATTAGAGACATTAAACACATTACTTCACTTCCCAATCATCAACCCAACTATTCTCATGTTGAAAATCAAACCCTAAATTGATCTACTCAAATCCGTTTAAACCCAACTCTCGTTGTGATAGAAACAATGGAATAATCACAATACTAAGATTACGTCTAACCTAGTATTGGCATAATCACAATCAAATTAGCATAGCAATTGTAAAAGTCATTAGAGAATTTAAAGTTTTAATTCATGCATCAATCATAATTGGGCTACCCTAGATCTTGGAATAGAAAATCTACTCACACATATTGAAAGAAATAATAACAATCATAAATATGGAAAACATAATTGAAAAGGAATTATAATTGAAAGAGAATAAAGTAGAAGTGAATACCAAGGATTCTTCAATTGAAAGGAATTAAATTGTTGAAGAACAATGCTCAAATCTTGTGCAAGGAATTAAAATTGCTTCAAAATGATAAACTAGAATTCTAGAGAGAGAAAGAGGAATAATGGAAAACTGAAAAACTTCCTCTAATGAAAGTTACAAAGGGTATTTATACCCCTTAAGACCTAAAAATGATAAAAAATTAAATCGGAGCTGCGCCATAACTGTGCCCGGTCTGCCCGGGCTGTTCCTGCCCGATCGGGCACTTAGGATTAAAGTTGCGCAAATTGCTTCCGCTAGAGTTCTTCTTCGCCCGGTCCAACCGGACAGGTTGAGCCCGATCGGGCGCGAGATCAAAATCATCCTGCTGCCTTC